CTGTGGCGTCCGTCGGAGATGCCTTTGGTAGACCCCATGATGTCGCATCGCAGTTGGGGTTACGTCGGTCCGGGGTGTCACCGAGGCAAGGCTTGTCCCTGAGTCTATCATCTCAACAGGTATCGTATAGGTTAAGTAACGTCGAAACAATTATCCATGGACAACCTGAAGTTCCAACAATTTCACTGGTTGCTGATGAAACGAAGAAACCTGGCAGCTCAACGTTGACGGTTACCGCTGTTCCGAATTGGATTTCCAGGGTTCAGAGCATAGTATTAAATTACAGCCGCAATGCCCGCATCGTAATATTTTTTGACGTAATATCGACTTAACGCGATAAGAGAACCCTATCACGATTGTTGCGATAAAAAACCGTTACGTAACACCGCAACACGCTATAAATTGTGTCGCAACAAATTTTAAATTATCTGAAATATAATATTACATAGATTAATTATTCTAATTTAATTCTTAAAAGTAGATTATAAATATATATAATTAATAATATCGTAATAGTTATGTTTAAAATTAGATACTTAAACTTGAATTAATTAAATTATTTATTAATGTTATTTTAAAATTAAATTAATTTAAATTTAAATTGAATTTTCTCATATCTAAAATTGGTGTGATTAATTTTAAACTAAATTGTTATATTAACATTAAGTATTATAATTATATGTTTATTTATTATTATATAAATTCTGTATAAGAGAGGAATTCACTTTATAATACTATAATAATATTATGTATTTTATCTATTTATTATGAAACTATAAAATTTTATCTAATATATAATATAAAGAACAAATAAATAAATAATATTATAAATAAAAATGAAAAAGGAATATATATATATTTTTTGAAATAGGTTTTAATCCAATTATTCTTGAAAATATTTTTGAAGAATATGACCTACTAAATGCATGGATTAAAGAAAGAGAGAATGCTACACTTAATAGTGAACAAAATTTCTCATGGTTGCCGGAGGAGATACTTAATGAAACTGATGAAAAAACTCAAGTTGAAAATATGGACAATTCACCTACTCCATCTAATGAAAAAAATGTTTAACTATCGACATCAAGTTATGATGATGATGATGAAGATGATGATGATGGTGGTTGTGATAATCATAGTGGTGATAATTAAGGTACATACCAATCAGAATATGGACACATTTATTCTACTACTTTTCATGGAGATCAAGGTATGTTCAGATATCCTTACGATAATAATTTAAGTTTGTATAGAACAAATGCATCACAAAATAGAAGAGATGATGATGATAGAACTCATAGGAGGATAGGAGAATACTTTTATGATTCATTTGTAGTTTCATCATAATATAGTTCAGCTACAAATGATAATGAAATTAGTGAACTATCTCATGGTTCTCATTCTTACCAACCAAATTCATGTTATCCACGTTATCTTGAACAAAATCCAAGTTATGGATTTTTTTGTCATCATTTATCATACAACATGTTTCCTTCCAATGATGCACATAATGTGATGTCTTCTTCACATAGAATAGGAAGGAATCAAAATCAAGACAATGAAGATAGAAATGATTTAGATTCGTCACGTCATTCATTTTGGTGGTGAATTGTAAGATATAAAAATTTTATATGTGTAGTTATGTATTTTTTTTTTCTTTCTAAGTAATGTAAAATGAACATTTTTATGTTAAAATATAAAAAAATTGATACGATTTTAGTGATATTGTTTATATTTTATTCATTAACATTATAATTTTTATTACCCATTATCCAGTATGATAGCACTTCTATGGTTTATATTTGTTTTTAATAAATTTTTATTTATGAAATTATTTTTTTATTTTCAAAATAAAATATTAAAAGAATATATTAATATTAGTATATTAAAAGATAACTGTAAAATGTATAAATATAATATTTTAGACGTATTGTGATTTTTTAGAAAAAGATTACACCCGCGACAGCCGCAACACGTTACGTAATATCCGCAGCATCCACAATCACAACACCACAACCACATCCGCAACAAAATCTACAACCATAATTTGATACTATGGCTAACAACCGTACATAAACAAGAACTTCAGCTGAAGAAGGCGAAACTTGTCAGCATGATTGATGAGGTTTACTTTTTCTTAATTCAATTCAAAGAGAAAATGCATTCATTATAATCTCATAATACACGCAGAGAAAGAATTTTCATTCTGTTACATTATTAGTTAGCTCTAGTCTAATGGAAATATCTTTTACTAAATATTATAATAATTTGATCATTTGGAACTCTTACAGTAATTGACATTCACCAGACAATATAATGTTTGACATAATAAATACATGACGAATTTGGTAAGTTTGGGACCCTCTGATCAAACCATTCCAAAACACTTTCTCTTTCCTTTTATCTCATGGTTTCTATTGCTTTCATTCGTTAGGCCTGCATGGTCGGTCAAGACATCAGATGACTGCGGGTAGACCGCGTCCATTAGTTGCAAAATTTATATTTCACTTGGGACAAACTTGGGTGTCTCCAGTTGAAAGTTTCCACTATAGTTTGGGACCGTAAACATGAACTTTTATGCATATTTGTACTGATTTCCCTTTGATTATGACCTTTAAAGTGGAGCAAAGATACAGGCAGTACCATCACCAAATGCATGCGGTGGTCGTTTCATTCGAGCAGGCGGAGGACCATTTCAAAGCATTTCCGGTGTCTTGAAGACGCAATGTCTAAGCAAATCAAAGCTACAAGCAAGAGTTTAGGAGAAGTGGATTGCTTGGGTGCTAAAATAGAGGGTTCAAGACTACGATATGTGGATCATCAGCTTCGACAACAGCGGGTGCTGCAACAGTTGGGAATGGCCCAACACAACAATGCTTTGAAACCTCAAAGAGGATTACCCGAACGAGCTGTTTGCGTACTTCGTGCTTGGCTGTTCGAACATTTCCTTCATCAGTAAGCGCTTCTTTTCACTAACTTCTTACACTATATGATAGATATATTAATTATCTCATTCCAAATGCCTTAACCTTTTGGCATCAGGTATCCTCAAGATTCAGACAAGCACATGCTTGCTAAACAAACAGGGCTTACAAGAAGCCAGGTCTCACTTCCATTGCAATGCTTTCTTCTTCATATTCTATTCACATGGAAGAAAAGAAAAGATAATGTAATTGATGTATGAACTTGCTTGCCTTGAAATGTAGCTGTCAAACTGGTTTATAAATGCTCGAGTTCGGCTATGGAAGCCGATGGTGGAAGAAATGTACAATGAAGAAGTGCAGGAACAACAAGAGAGGACTAATGGCAGTCTAGAGATCATCAATGCAAACAAAAGCGATCAGCAAAAGGAATCAGGGTCTAGTTCTAGTGTCCAGACAATGGATCAAGTTAAAGCTAAATCAAATTCAAAGCCTAAATCCTTCCACCAGAATAATAATAATAATACTTCCCCAACTGATCCATTCCCCAACTCCACAATCTCAACCTCTCCCATGGGAGGGTCCCTTGTGCAACAAGCATCATCATTCAATCTCTTCGGACTATCCAGTCTCGAAGGTGCAGCTCACACAAGCCTGAAAAGGCCGAGAAAATACTAGCAGAATTCTCCTATCGGGATCCTGCCGATGGTGACGAAAGGCTATTCAAAGATGGTTACTCGTGTGAGAGAGTTTACGGTTCCATGCGAGAGATTGAGAGGTTTGATGGTGACCAGCAACAGGTGGCAGCCGGATTTAATGGAAACAGTGGTGTGTCCCTGACCCTTGGCCTTCCCCATTGCGAGAAAATTTCGCTCTCACGAAACCTAGTGTCGAACCACAACATTAACCAGGTAGGAAGAAGGTTAGAATTAGGAGCGAGCGAATCTGATATCGATGGGATCAACACATAACAGCGAGCTTCTCATCCCAGTGGTATTGAGGTGCAAAACAGGAAACGTTTTGAGGCGCCACTGTTGCCTGATTTTGTGGCCTGATCAAACTCAAGACTCGACAACATGCATCAACAAAAGTGCAAGACCTTGGAAAATAACCTTCCCAAGCTTGGTTTCTCTTTTTATCGTGCGAAATACTTTTTGAAATATATATATATATGTACATGCACTTGTGACAATCAAGTTATGATAAATTATACATTTAGTCACTAAATTTGTATGATACTTCTAATTTGATCATTGAACATTTAAAATTTACATTATACTTATTAAAATTTTTATTCGTTTTATCGTCGTTGTAGTTATTGTAGTTAAAAAAATACAAACTTGGAGTCCAATTACTCTAAACCCCTTAATTTTTCAAATGGATAGTCGTAGGAAAAAATGAATTTTCAATAAACAAAAACTGTTGTTGCTTATTAAAACGATAGTTAAATATTGATGGTTAAATAAGTTTCATCTTTATTATTAAAAAGATAATTAAATTTCAATTGTTGGACGCTTTATTAATCATTTAACCAGTTTAGCTGTTAGTTGAATAAAATTTTCCGGCATTTAACACCCTCTATATATTGTTTGATTGTAGCTTTTTTAATTTATTAATTAAAGGTAAGTATCAGCTAGTATATGTTTAAAGATATATTTTCAACTTTTTGACATTAAACGCTCACACCTATGATATTTATGGTGCTTGAACCCAGATCCTCAATGAATAACAACAATTCCTTTACCATAGAGACCACTTGATCCGTACATTATTCGGTTGTAATTATAACTGTTAGGAATGTATTATTTTTTGGAAGGAGAATGCATTAATTTTAATTATAGTTGTAATTAAAATAATTAATAAAAAAATAAAAGATGGCTTGGTGGGTCATTTTATTGTTTTGACCCAAAATATTTGGTCCTTTTAGAACATGAGTATGGGTTTATAATCTTTTTCATAAAATCAATTGCAAGAAGTTGGGCTTCAAGACCAGAAGCCTAAGCAAAAATAATAATAATGAACAAAACAAAACCCCATATTTCTGAACCGTGAAGTTTGAAGGGGCATGAAACTACCATATCAAATAACCACAGCAACAAATGGAAAGGGCAGAAGCGATTTGCTAAGGTCACCGCCGGAGACACGCAGGGATGAATCTCATCTTGTTTGAACATCAACAGCCTCCATCGTCTTATCCATGTAAAAAGGGGCATAAATCTCAAGATGGATAAGAAGACAACAAATGAGAAGGTAAACAAGAAGGGTTCCTCCAAACCCTAGAGTGCAATCTCAATATCTCACTTGCTTTCTCCTTGCTCTTGTTATTGCAATCAAGTTGAACCACCATTATCAGCTCCTTCACCACTCCAACTTGCAACATCTCTTGAAGAACCCTACACGTTGCCGAGAACTTAGAAATCGAGGATATAATCCTCACTGCCGTCACACTTGCCGCATGTGAAACCGTAAATATTTTCTTCGACACTATGGCTAGCCCTGCTCCGTGCTTCAAAAGCTCGGCTCTCCCTTCGGCACAACCACAAAGATGACACAACACGAACAAAGCCAGCTCCGATGTTCTCCCTTCCGAGGTCCCGAGAAGAAGCTCAATCAACACGAACACTGCACAGCCTTCGACGGCCTTGATCTTGTTCCTTCCCCACGGACAAAGCTCTGCGAGGAGTTTCAAAGTGGTCTTTTTGGCTTGCTGCGACATGTCATCACTCAAAGCTCGTACGAGTTGCGAAATGAATTCGGATGAAACGTTGATCAATTGGATCGGATCAGCCACTTGGAAAATATCTTTCAATATCACCGCCGCGTATTCTCGAGATTTGTGTATACCATTTTCCAGTACTCGCGATAGAGACTCTACAAATGCCAGATCTTTGCTAATAATACTCTTTAGACTGCTTCCGGAGACCTTGATATGGTAAAGAATATTCAATGCTTCGTCGCTAGCAGTTATAAAACCCGGCCCTTCTTCGCTCTCCACTTCAAGCAACGAACAATCACAGCTGTTGACGATCGATACCAAGAATTCAACAGCGCCAGACGTTTCCAGGCAGCTTCTGTTCCTTTCACCTCCCAGCATGATTGATCTGAGGGTTGCAAGGCACTTGAGTCGCATCTCAGGCAGCTTTCTGGCTTCCTTAATGAGCTTGGCGATCTGGGTTTTTTCAACAGGAGACTTAGGTGTTGGGATTCTTTCGATTCCATGGGAAGCATTCAGAGTGCACCACGCTTGGATCAACCGACGGAGAGTGTGATTTGGAGTAAGATGAGCATCTTGCAAGGCTTGTTTGGTAACCGGACACGCCTTATTCTTGCATGAAAATAGCCATTGCTCTATACTATCTCGATCGTATGTTATTCCTGTTGAGATGGTAACAGGATCTCTCATGGGCTGAAGAGAAATTGGACAAAGGAAATGTGTAGAAATCTCAATTCCATCCATCTTTTTTCTTTCCTCTTCCGGAAACTGGAATATGCAATGCAATTGAGTGATGAAACATACGCTTATATACTTGAGATGATAAAAAGGGCAATTTGTTCGACTTTCAAGTCAAAGAAAACAAAATGTCAAAACACAACAGACTGCTAAGAGAGAGAAGAACTAACTCAAGACCATTTCCGAGGCTCCGACATGGAGTACAAAACCCAGAGATAAATTAGGCGTCGGTCATCCATGCGACTTTGACTTTCTCCATCTTAGCTCTGTGTTTTGACTAAATCTTGCTGCCTTAATCAATTTAGTGCCTTTATGTTCCAGCCAATTGCTTCAATCCACGTTGATGAAAATAATTAAACAAAACACAAGGGGAATAAATCTTGTTGATTTCCCATTCATCTCTAAATAATGAGCACAAAGTCATAGTCAAACACATGAAATCTTCAAATTATTAGCTCATTAGTTTTATTATTTAACAAAATGTTCAAATCTTATTTCTAATCAAAGTAATTTTATATAGAAATAATATTAATTAAAATTTACTTTTTCCGGTTTAATGCACTTTTTATTTATTTATAAATGTGCATTTATATCCAAAGAATCAAAGTCATATGTGTACACACTAAATAATCAAGCATAGTTTAATGCACTTTTTATTCTTTAAGAATCGAATAATTTTCTTTTGTATTTTTTTAAGTTCTATTGAATCCGATACAAGTGCAAATGCAAATTGTAGTTTTCAGTTCAACCGAGTTGATTTTTTCAACACTGATCACTAAATAAATTCCCATACGAATATACGCAATATATTTTACCATTATTTATTTTTTAAATCTGGTTACTTATATGATGAATATAGACAAACAAATCAAATTTATAAATATTATAATTTATTATATTTTGATATAACTTATAAATGATAATTAAGTTAGACTTTATTGTAACTCCGTTGTCTAAAGTAAATATTTATGTTAGGCAATAATTCTTGTGGAATAAAAATGGTTAGTAATCAAGTATTTAGTTATACAAATAAATATTATGTTATATATACGACGTTTAGGGTAACATGAGAGAGAATTATATATTTTGGAGAGATATAATAACTTTTTGAATCATTGTATTTTTTTTTTTGTTATATTGTAGAGATAGTTTTGTATGATATTGAAATAAAAGGGTATGTTTGAATATTTCATCAGCTTTTAGGGGTTTTCTTGCAGTAAACCATTATAATACCAAACATTAGTTTTTGCTATTTATTGTCCAAACCACCAATAACAAATATCACGAATTGAAGTAATTGTATTCTTCGATAGCATTAAATTTCATCAAACAATAACTTTAAAGTTTGGGCTACCCAGCTCACTGGGAGTTGATACCGTAACAACATGATTATTATTTATTATCATTTATTCATGGCTTTATGCAAGTGCCAGACCGTCTTTCATTAATATTAAAGGTAAGATATCTGACTTTTCTCTATATGATTTAATTTTTTTTCTGACTTAACTTACGGTTTAATTATGGTTTAGTTCCATCTATAATTCAAATTTGTTCGAGTTTGCATATACACGTAAATGGATTATTCAAACACGTCTATGTTAATCTATCTTTTTTTCAATTGAAAAAAATGGCAACGCCAAATAGATGCATGTGCTTTTTTTTTGTAATAAAAATTTCATTTTCTTTATCCTAAAGAATGATTGCCACGAGACAATAATAGGCGTATTTGCATGCCAGTAATAAAATTGGGCCAGTAATAAAATTGGGCCAATATATGCACCATGGTTGTGCTAGACCCAATATGCAGATTAACCATAACGGGCCACCAATTAAATTGATCTGTTACATCAAAAAGAAAAGGCTTGATACAAAATATGTGTCTAATGGTTTCCCGTTATATTTTTAGGTACATACCGTTAAAAAATTCATTAAATGACATGTTTCACGTTTATATTTTTTTTTACTTTTTTAATAAAATACTATTTAAAATGTTTTTTAATTTGAATATGACATGTGTCACTTAATAGTTTTTTTTACGTTAGACCCTAAAAGTATAATACATAAAACATTAGACATCTACTTTTAACAAACTAGAGGCCAAAAATTAATTTTAAGTATAATTTAAACATTTGTATATTAAACCAAAAGAAAAAATACACCGCATAAATTTTCACTTAGCCGCATCATTTTATTAAAAACAAATTATAGGTATCTAGGAATGGAACATGGGGACATAATTTTTCACCAAACATACTTGATATGCAAGACACGATCCGTACACGACAACAAAAAGAGCAGACGATGTCTTGTAATGAATCTCATAGTTGTACAAAATGACCGGCCGGCGAGTGGACAAGAATCCAACCCGGCCTCGGCTGCTTACCATCCCCACCCAAAAACTCAGGTCGTGTATACAATCCATAACGCCTATAGCCTGAAAAAGAATCCTACATTTCGATCATTGTATCCACAGGTCTTTTGCACTTTTGGATAACGTACGTTTTCATTCTGGCCATGGGTTAGGGATATTTGGAAAGATTTCTCATAGATTTGACAGTGACATGTTTTCATTTATATATTATATATTCGTAGTAGCAATACCATATTTATCCTAAATACTGAAATATTTATTTTTGTGTATAATAGAGATAAGGGTTCATAATTTTGTTGTTGTTGATAAAGCTAATACACAATAGTAATGCAAACGCAATGAATTTTGTAATCATGGATGCTAGGCAAAAAGTATTTAATATATAATAATGATATACGACTGATTAATTTTATTTGATTCTTTTGATACTCATTTTTATGATCGCACTAAAAGATTCTTGTCGAACGGACAAAGGCTGTGGCTTTTTTTTTTTTTTCCACTCGTGCTTACTACGCCTTTCATTGTTCTGGAAATCGAATTCCGGAAACTTGCTTTGTTGGTATAAAGTTCGCCATTAACTAATGAGTGGTTTGGAATTGAGCCATCGAAGGGTCAAATCATGCTACGTTTGGATAAGATGAGTCTAAAAAACTAATGATGATTTGGTTACTAAAATTAAAATTATAATTATTTTAAGTATAATATACTTAGCAACAGAGATATTCTTAGACAAACAAGCAAGAATATTCCACTTTGATTAAGTTCATGCATGACCAAAGAACAATTACATGTGTACCTACTGTTACCTATGTTCGACACATATAACCAAACTCTAAAAGAACAATTATAAAAGAGCATCTCGGAAGTGACAGAACTAGTAATACAATTACAAACAATCGATCCAATCACAGTTCATTTTTCTCTTACATATTATTATCATATTTATAAGTGATATATATTAATATTTAATATTATATAATTTTATCGGTACTGTTGAAAATTTAATACTATCGTATAGTAAATATTATTTAATTTTGATATGAACACCATTTTTTTACATCTAATTATAATATAAAAAATACTGAGGTTTATTTGGAATATACGATTTGATGGGAATTCTGCTAGGCTGGCCACCAATTACTCTGGTTCGTTACCCATGATTAAGAAAAGGCAAAGGCATAGCCAACGCTGGTCTCAACTCTCATCATCAAACAAACCAAATCCAAGGTAGGGATGGGCTAAACAAAGATGGCTCACTTTCAAAAATATAATATTAAATGATATTGTGAATTTAAATATCATTGTTTTTAATTTAATAAATTAAACTAAAAGAATTATATTTACGACTTAGATTAAGCTCCAAAAAGGGGGTCTTAGGATTGGACCACGAACCTAGAGAACAAGAACGAAACCCCTGGCTCAGCCGCTCAGGCCAACAGACGATAAACCCAACCATTTACGTGTCCCTCTTAAGTGCGAAAACGTGGCAGTTTATCATTCGTAGAATTGGGCTTCCCAGTATCATTGCAGGAAGTGGAAAGCCATGCATGCAAATTGCAAAGGCAAAAAGCCAAAAGGCAAAGGCAGCCATATATACTTTTTTTCGTTTTTTCCTCTCCTTTTGGGTTTTGGCACCATATTGGAAGTCACTCATGTTGGGAAAAATCTTTTCTCTCCCATGGAAATATACACGAATATTAAATTTGATCTGATAATTTTTCAATATATATATATATATATAAGTATTATAGTAATTACTTTTATATACAAAAAATAAAATTATATTATTTCTCAAATCAAATTGAATATGGTCAAAGATTCTTTTACCTTTAATATAAATCCAACTCAATTTGACCTCACTTGTTATCGGTGACGAAATTTAGTGATAATTTTTTAAGATAGAAGAAAGGATAATATATTATTTTAAATAAATTTTTAAATTTAAAGTTAATTAAAATTTATACAGTCTTTATGACCAAATCTATATAGTCTTTTCTGTAGTAGGGTAGGAAAGATTTTCATCCACGACCCATAGATTTTCAAGACACACACATATATTCTAATCTTTTGAATAATTGAGATGCACTTTGTCCTTTGATCTTAGATGAAACTTAAGCATTAAGCACGAAGGGGACATAAGTAATGAATCCTTTAGTGATTTTCTTAATAATTAGGAAAGAAAACAAGATTTGAACTTTAGACGAAAGATTATCAATGTCACTTAATTATCGGAATAATAAAGTTACTAATTTGAGTAATTAATCAAAAATGTCAAAAGTAACAAATAAAAATATTAAATATGAGAATTTATTTTATTAATTACAAGTTTAGTTACAAAGTAAGTTTAATTCCAAGAAGATAAATTATATAATTGGTGAATAAAATTGAGTAACGGCTAAGAGTTGATCGGTATAAAGTATAAGGAAAGCTTGATTGGGGTTTCAAAATTATTATTTTTCTGAATAGAGGATTTTAAAATCAATTAAAATAATCATTGTTATTCTATTTTAATCATTAAATAAATTTATAATAAATAACATTAATATGGATATTTATTTTGGTTTAAACTTTGTGATTAAGCTTTTAAATGTATATTGGTAATAGACGAGAAATGCTGGAGAAAATTATTTTTCGGTGATTA